TCCTGGAAGGCTCACCCGGACCTTTGCGACGCTCCCCCCCCATGGGGCCAGCGGGGACGAAATTGCTGCCTTCGCTCCATAAGAGCGTCTTATGGAGCAAAAAATACAGTAAGTGCTGAATAAATAAATGACCAATGTCTGAAAGAGTAAATATTGGTACAATGTTGCTTCCCTGAAAGCTATTCACAGAAATGATTATTTTAATAATGGCTTCTGCCCTATTTCCCTCCCCAAGCTACAATAGTGAAAAATGAACATTTAAAAAATAGTCATTACAGTAGAGAGTAGACTATGTATACTACAGAGCAGTGCATGACAAAATACTTTAAATTCTCTAAATTCATGAAATAGCAGTAATATACTTTGTGACTATTAAGTCTTGCCAGCAGTGTCTTTGCCATTGGATAAAATATGTTTCCTTTGTAACCACTGGGTTTTTTGAATAAATCAAAATTTCCAGGAAGATCAAACATATGTCTCATATTGTGTATGTGACATAACCTGTTATTCAATAAGTTGCAATTTTATGCTGTAAGCAGGACACAGTCATAGTATATGTGACTTGTTTTACTGTTTTAATTTAAAAGTGGTGGAATTTATCTTTGTATACATTTTGTATACTTTGTTTTTGTGTGTGATTTTTGATGACCAGTCAGTGACTACAATAACTAGTGGGTGGATAGATAAATGAGTACACGGACATACAGATAGATAATGTGATTGTGTACACACATATTCCATCTAAAATGTTCTTTCCCTTCTTCAAAGGTGTCAACTTTCATTAGGCAGCAGTCACATGAACAGTTTCAGATTATAGTTATATCTCTAAAGGAAGAGTTTTATTCTAAAGCAGATGCTTTAATTGGTGTCTGTCCTCAGGTAATTATAACCTTTGATTATTATTTCCCTGTGTGCCCTTTTGTTTCAATTAAAAGTGAAACAGTATGTTTTTATAGCTCTGTAGTCATGAATCTCTATTCATATTTATGCTTGGGGTAGCAAAAACAGTGCCTGTTTGATTATGGTATGATCCAATAAATAAATAAATGTACTGTGCTGGCTCCCCATTTTTTTCTTTTCAGCAAGAGGATACTATTTGTAGTCAAGTTCTGACCCTGGACCTTACTCAGTATCCAGACTCGGAAGAGAGCGAAAGGCAACAGAAACCAAGAAAGAGTTCTGCATTGAAGTAAGATGCAGAATGAAACATTTTGAGAAAATGTTCATTTCTGCTGTTACAGTTTTGAACGTTGCTCATGATAGTTACTGGAGCATTTGTTTTAAGTTTAAAACTAAATTCATAGACACGTAGTGAAAGAATTGGTGGTTCAGCATTATATCATATAAATGTATTTGTTCTGTTTGGACGTTAGCTGCTAAAATCTGCAGAATTTGACATTTAAACAAGACTTTGACACAAAGATGTAGCATTTCTGTGAGCCCCCTATTTAAGCAGAGTTTCTAGAGTGGGAGATTGACAGCTGTAAAATGGGTTGATCAAGCAGGTTTCCTTTGGAAACATGTCTGAGCACAATAGTACCTGCAGGCGAAACACAAGTTCTTTCGGTACTCTAAACAGATCTGCATAGAACTTTTGGCTAGAGTCACTGTAGAGCAGCAAGTACTGTCACTTCTGTTGCTTTTCACTTGAACATTAACCTTGATCAGATGGGCATGGCAATAGTGCCTTTTATTCAAAAAAACCCAGTGTGCATAGAACTAATAACTAGATAATCTCAATGTCAGGATAATAGTGTTAATTGTTACAATGCATAATCTGTTTTTGAAAGTGGTTAAATACATCCTACTTGGTTCTTGTGTTACCTGTGTCCAACGAATCCTTTATTTATGTGGTCCACCTGAAGACTCCCAAGAGGTACACTTCAGAATTAATTTTCCTGTAGCAGTAGAAGGCACGAGACAATGGGTAGCGCCTCATTCTCATAAACAGGAATGCTTAGACAATGCGGATATCCCACAGCACCCTCTAGACAGAACAATTCAGCCATCCAGTCTGCATCCTGCCTTTTCTTCCAGTAGGTGAGAACTGCTGGTTGTTTCAGAGTTTCCTTAGCCTGCCTTCTCCTTATCTGAAGGAGGGCACAACAAAAAGCCCTCATTTGTTCTCACTAATTTGCTCTCCCTCCAAGACCACTGCCCTGTTTGTTTACCCTTTTTTCCCCTGCTGAGAGGATCAGAACCACCACGTCATGTGAGAACAATGAGGATGTCAGGAGGTTCCTCTCTCAAAACTGCCCACCTTACAAAAAGAGACTTTTCTGCCAGTGCAGAATGAAGAGTACCATATCAGGGGAAACCTCCTTGCAGTCGAGTAGGCTTAGCCACAGGAAAGCGAGTCAGATCCATGCTGCTCCTCCCGCCCTCTCGAAGCAACAGGGATGCAGTGGAGAGGTTCTGCTGAGACAGGGAGTAGATTTGGGACTGAAATCCTACTTCCTGCTCAATGCTAGACAGCCAAGCTTTGCACCCACAGTTTTTCCCCCAAGGCTGGTGATGGTGCCACTCCTGATGACAGCTATGGGGGGGGGGAGGACAGAAACCACCTCTCAGCTGTTGAGCATGGCTGAGGCAAGGGAGCACAGGACTGAAAGAGTGTCTTCATTCTTGCCACACACACCCCGCTTTACTGGATGAAAGATGCATAGCCATTTCCTCTCACAGAAACAGGAAGGTGTTGACTTGATGGCCCGGGGCATGGTTTTGGTAACAAAACAAAAAGTATGAAGCTTATCCCTATAGCTTGGGAAGAAAGACATCCTCCTCTCCCAGCATCTCTGGCTGTTTCTGCTGAGAATTTAAAGGGAGCGCTGGTGCTCTGTTATGCACCTGTCCAGTATTTTCTTGCTGGTCAGGATTGTTCTATTTGCTGCTGTTTAATTCATGATTGGTTGAGGGTGGTGTGTGTTTTTGTTTATCACTGGGCCTTTTCACATATTGTTGGGGAACATGAGTGGGTTGCTTTCCCTCACAACACCATTGCACATCCTGATTGGCTAGCAATTTCTACCTGTTGGAGGGAGGAGCAACACTTTCTGGGATGCTGTCTTCCCACCACATAGAATGAAAATACTATGGCAAAAGGCCAACAAATCTTCCAGTTTTCCACCTAATCTGCTAGGTGCTATTGATATTTAGGATATTAACCAGAAAGTTTTACCTTTTATCTTGCATTTCAGTTGTGGTTTTTTCTGACAGTTTCCCATTACATAACAGAAAAAGGAAACACGGGCACTTTGAAATATCTTTATTAAAATAAACAGAAATGAAGAGCCCAAGTGTCCCACTGAATTCAATTTCTTCTCTTTTTTTAGCTTAAAATCTTACAAAAGCTAAAAACTCTGTTATGCTGTGTGTGCGCAAAGTGAGTAATCTCTACCAGCCAATGTTTGCACAGAGGTTCAAAATGATATGCCAAGAGTTTGAAGCTACTGGTAACGGTTGTCATGCTTATGTTTATGTCTGTGGAAGAACATCTTCGCATTTAGTTCCACTTTTTTATGCAGTGTTCTTGTAAAAAGAGTTAAACAGGCCTTCTGTGAAAAAGAGGCCTTCCTGTGCTTAACACATGTACTATGGAAATAAAATTAGCAAGATTCAAAATTACAAGCAAAAGACTGCTTATATATACCTCCTTGCCATATCTTATCCCTGAGAAAGCACAAGTCAGTCTTGGTTAAAGAAACATGTCTTATCTACGTATGCATGTAAGTTTAAAGGAGTGTTAAGTAACCTCCGCCCAGATACACATATTTTTGTAAGATATAAATATATCATCAATATATATTAAATGAAACCCTTAGCTATTAAAGCAGGAAGATACACATATTTTTGTAAGATATAAATAAATATATCATCAATGCATATTAAATGAAACCCTAAGCTATTAAAGCATGGGTGTCCAACCTTTCACTTTGCATGGGCCACATTAGAAGATGACATTTTGGTTTGGGCCGCACATAAATTTGGTTTGGGCCGCATGGGGGGGAAGCCCTAGCCGTCCTCCACAGCCCCACTCCAGGCGCTCTTGCCGGCAGCTGCAATCTCGGACAGAAGAGGCTGACAGCTTCGACTCCGCGGCTTTATGGGGCCGGGAGGGGGTCCACCTATTGACGGGGACGGCACAATGCAGTCATGCAGCCCTCCTGTCCCCTCCCCTCCCACTGCTTCCTTCCCTCTCTCCCCCTCCACTGTTGTGATGTGCCCTGGCCGCAAGCGCCGGTAGTGTAACTTGAAACTTTGGAATTTCTTTTAAAACAAAAAATTGCACTGGGCCGCATTACGAGCTGACCTGGGCCGCAGGTTGGACAAGCCTGTATTAAAGGATCCTTCTGGCTCTTTGTTATGGCATAAGTGGATGGCATACTCAGAGGAGATGCATGTTTTATAAGCTATATTCTCACGTAATCACAGGGGGCAGCATCTTCCATGGTACCTGTTTTTAAAGAAACGCAAGTTAGTTAATTCTGCTTCAGCAACTGAGGAATCAAATTTTCTTTTAATCAGTATATGTCTTTGTGGTCACTCTTCCTGGTAAGGTCACTTAGAGCTGCTGCTGTAGTAGCAAATCCTGGGATGAACTGTTGATAGTATTCTGCCAGCTCCAGGAACTGTTGTTCTTCTTTCTTGGTTTTGGGTTCAATCCAATTGGTTAACTTAGTCACTTTTTCTTTCTGAGGTTGTATCTGACCACCTCCCACCTGGAAACGTAAGTAGTCAGCCCAAATTTGGTTGGGATATACATTTGGCAGGGTTCATTGTGAGATATGCTTCTCTGAGCACCTTCTGAGATGTTGCATGTGTTCATCCCAAGAATTGCTGAATACAATGGTGTCATCAGGGTAAGCCACTGCACAATCATTTATAGAAACCAAAACTTGGTCCGTAAGTCTCTGAAAAGTTGCTGCCACCCCATAAAGTCTGAAAGTCATGTGGGTGAACTGGTTCACCCTTTGGCAGTGGAAAATGCCATTTTCTCCTTATCCTCATCTCTCAACTGAATCTGCCAATATCCTTTGGTCAAATTGAGAAGTGACAGGAATTTAAACTCGCCCAATTTATCACTTAGGTGAATGGATAAGCATTGAATTTAGACGTGGCATTGACTGCAGAAATCAATATAAAATCTAACACTCCCATCCGACTTAGGGACCACCACCAGGTAACTGGACCAAGGGGTTTGTGAGGGCTCAATGACCCCAAAGTGTAGCATTTCCTTTACCTCTTTCTCAATCACCCCTGTTAGCTATCTTGGCCAGGTATGCCAAGCAGACCAGACCACCACATAGGTGTGTGTGGCGATCTTATGCTGTACAAGGCCTAGTTGTCCAGGTACTTTTGAAAAAACATCCACAAACTCTTTCGTTTGGCATCTGACCTGATGTCAATGTAAATGGTTCAGCTGATGTTCCACCTCTACCTCCAGGTCATGCCTGGAGTTACATTCACACATCTCTGACCCCAGCTGCTCTTCTTCCAAAAGCCCAAACAACACATCCACCCACTGTTTCAACAAATTTCCATGTAACACTTGATACTGTCGGGCAAACAACTTAGTGGAGTCAGATGGTGGTAGCACTAACACCTGTTGTCCAGGGTCAAATCAGTAGTGCCTGACTGGCGTCATACTGCCTCTTTTGTAATTCCTGCACCTTCCCCAGGGCCTCTTTGGCCAAGGCTGCTGTCCTGTGCAATTGTTCCTGCAAGTCCATCATTTGCTGCAATAAGTGTTTAGCTGAGTATTCTTCCTGTCACTTCCCTTTGACCAAATTAACCCCCACAGATTCCTCCAGTACAAGAGCTTGAAAAGGGAGAGCCCAATAAAGGCTTGTGGGGTCTCTTGTATAACAAACATCAATGGGGTTCAGAAGGTGTCCAATTCCTGAACCTTTAATTACCTTCCTTAGCATCCCCTTCAGGGGGCGGTTAAATCATTCTACGAACCCATTGGTCTAGGGATGGTAGTACAATTGGGGCTACCTCTCCTTTGTCCGACTGATGTACAGTAAGTACAGTATTCCACCTCACATCTCAAACCCCCTTTCTCCCTGCCGCATAGTCCCTTCTGGCATCGCTCTAGCCCTAACCTTCTCCAATCCTCAATTGTTCTGTTGCCAGGAGATTGCCAGCAGTTCTGCATCCTAGTTTTTCTCCTCACTGTCCCCCACATGTTCCTCAAGCACATCTTGGGTGAGGTTCACTATTCTTGTCCAGTCTTACCCCAATATCTCTAGATTCAGGCCTGAGACAATCCCAACTTCCATATCTAAAAGTTGATTTCTAATTTCAATTCATGCCCTAGTTAGGGCTTAGGGTCTCACATCCCCATGCACACAATATACAAGCAGTGTCTCCATGAGTCTGTCCCTGGGCAGGTCTCTTGCTGCAGCCCTTATCCATCAAAGCTCGCACTGGGGCCCCATTGACCTAGCATAAGCCACGCACCCTGGGTGATCTTCCTCACCAATCTTCACCAAAAACACCTGTACCAAGGCTCAGAAACACTTTTCCACCAAACAATATTTTTTTAATGTGTCTGAATTGCCCACAGCTGTAACACACTATCATCTGCTCCTTCAGTGTTGTTCAGGTAGCTGGTTGGGTTGACGTTCCCAAGTGATTAGAGGTTTCAGGATTTGTGTTCCAGTCAAGTTGTTGAACTCCATCAGGTAGGGTTGCATTCTCCTTTGAGTGGGTATATACACTGATCTCGCAAAAGATCCAATTGCTGTGCTCGCCATCTTGCCCTCAACCTTAGCTTTTTTGAAGTGCATCTGTCACTTTGGTGGGTTGTTCTTCACGCCTAATAGTCTTCTAGCAACACTGCAGCATCCTCTAGCATGGAGAGTTTATGTCAGTTTACCCAGCTCCTGGGTCCTTTATCCAACTTGGTGACTAGCTGCTCCAGAACCATGATTTCTAGTACTTGTTCAACCACTTCTCCTATCAACTTGACCCATTGTGTTGCATTAATTCTCATCTTCTGGGCTAGTGTTCTCAGATGTGTTACTGGTTTTAAGCGGAGGTCCCTGGAGCATCCTCAATACGCCTCTTTGTTCAAGTTTAACAAGCTGTCTTTACCTTTTTGTAGTCAACAGCACATTCTGGGTCCATTGCATCAATGATCTCTTGCAGTAATCCTATCAGACATGGAGTCAATATCCAATGTTCCTTTGCCCATTTTGCTGCCAATGCTACCCTCTCAAATATATTATGGACTGCTGCCAGATCATCATTTGAGCTTTTTTTTAAAAAAAAATTTTTTTTGCAGTTTCACTTTGTATCCATGTCCTTGTCCCTGCTCGGCTGGTTTCTGTGGTTGAGAACATCTTTTCTATGGTCTGTTGGGTGTTTGTCATTTGTTCCACCATCATTCTCTGTTGATTGGCCAGTTGTTTCATCAACAATTCTTGCCCCTGTTACCTGCCACAGCCATTCCTAGGCCAGGCTTGTCACAGTTGATAACCTACCCCATTAGCCACCAATATGTGAGGGTTTGGCTTCTCCCTTGGTTAAATCATGCCCAGGTTCCCCTTTTACCCTTCCTTTCCCTTATATGCTGTCCCCACTCCTTGCCTTCTTCTTTGCTCCAATACACGGGTTTTAGGGGGACTACCTCATGCCTTCTTCTCTCTTCCTCTTCCTTAGGCACCCACCTGTGGGTCCAGGGATTCTCCAGTTCAATCCACACCTGTCCTGGGGGAAGAACATTCTGCTTCTTTTTTGCTTCCACTTCTCCTGCTTAAACTACTCCCCTTCTCAAGGGCAGGGACCTATTTATCCCTTTCCCCTCCCCCTCTTCCATTCCTACCTTTTCTAACTGTTCTGACACTGCCTCCACTATTCCACCTGCCTTCCCTAACACTTCAGCCTCAGCCCTCACTCCTATTCTTGATGTATCCTCCACTACTTTTCCCCTGCTGAGGTGGCCACTTTCCACTCTACCCGGCTTTGCCTAGGCTGGTGGTTCGACCAGTTTCTCTCCTTTTCCTGCTCACTCCTATTCTTGATGTATCCTCCACTGCTAGTGGCAGTGCTACCCGGCTTTGCCTAGGCTGGTGGTTCGACCGGTTTCTCTCCTTTTCCTGGTGGAACAGACGACACTCGTGCAGGGACATCCTCAGGCCTGCCAGCTGCCTCACATAGGGGATCATTGAAGATGCCACAAAGAATACAATATAATTAGTCCCATAGCTAATAACCAAAGTGATGTAAATAAAACATGTTATTCTGTTTGCTAGGAACAGAGGTAAATAACCTTGTGTTTTAATTTCTCAGAGCTGACAGAAATAAACACCATTGGACAGTGGTGGTGGTTATGTACCATGAAGTCAAAACTGACATAGCAAGCCTGATACGACTTTCATGGTAAACAACATATTCAGGAAGTGTTTTTACCAGTTCCACTGCCCTAGTCAGTTTCCATGGCTGAATGGGAATTCAGCCCCAGGTCTTCTGAGTCCTAGTCAGTCACTCTATCCACTACACCACACGGTATCACAATACCCCAGATACTATTCTCAATTGTCCAATAGATCAAACAGTATCACATCTAAGATCAATTTTACAAATTACCAAAACATTTTCCACTTGGTTTGTTTTCCCATCTCATTTATTTCAAATGATACTCAGCATTTAGACCGATCACATTATTTCACATCATACATTTTTGTTTAGCCCTATTTTGGTAAAATTAGTGAGGATACGGCAATTAGAACACTGCACTATTAAACTCACTCCTTACATATCCCTGGTAAATTGAAAATCATGAGCAATTAGAATTACCATTATCAGGTTTCCTTGCTCTCTTTGGTTGGTCATTGCCATTTTCCCCTAGCCTTCGCTTTGCACAGTCCACACAGGATGTTCCTGCAAGTACAAACAATATCACAAATTAAAGGCATCTAATAAAATTATAGACTTTCAGACGAGTATAACAACTAGAATTCAGACTCTTGTTTGCCTACACCACTAATTATGATGCATACATTTTAAAACTGAGTGTATGCCAGCATGGGTCATTCCACCACCGCACTGTCCCTTAGATGGGATGCAATGATAATATAAATGACAGTATAAACAAAGGGCAGTCTGTGAGAGGGAGCATAATTTGAAAGGCATTTAAGTCACGAAAGAATGTTTGTGACATGGTAACTTCATTTTTATACATCTGTTAACTTCTTTAGTATTTCACAATCCAAACAGTGAATTAAGTCAATATAAACTCATGGAGCTGAGTCAGAAAAAACTCATTTTATTCCGTGTTAAATCATGGTTTTATCACTACAAATCTAATAGAAATTAGTCTTTGATTAGGTGTATGGGATTTTGAAAGGTGTAGCTTTTCCTGAGCCATTCTTCAGATGCTTGTGCATTAAGGACTAAAATGCCATTCATACAGTGCTGTCACTTTTCCTGAGCCATTCTTCAGATGCTTGTGAAAGGACTAAAATGCCGTTCATACAGTGCTGTCATATTAAGGGTTTGCTACATATTCAAGTCACTTTAAAACATTTTGTTTATTGTTGGTTAGTTGGCTGATTTGATGAGCTCAAGTTCTACTTTATCCTCACAACAATGCTAAATCACATTAGAGACAGAGATCATCCAGTGAGCTTAACAAATCCCATGTTCTAGTCTGAACATAAACTGTTATCCTTGGGCAAAGGTTAAGTATAATATTTCAAATGTGTTAGAGAAAAATATTTGAGTATTTCTACATAGAGTGGGTGGGATCCAGGCGAAGCCACAGTAGTCACCGAACAGCAAATTGGGATCTTACTCCACAGCTATTTATCCCACTGCTATAGAGACCAACCCAATTCAGTATCATAAGAAAGACATGCAAATAAAAATATACTCAACCCAAAAGTGTTGTGCTGTCCACACGATCTGTATCTGGAGAAAGAATAAAATAAACAATGATTCACATTTTGGACTGGACGGAATTCCGTTTAAGTTAACCAGTACATTAAACAGTACATAAACTTGTCAGTGTTATTAAAAAAGCAGTTAGTGTGAAATACTTCAAACACACAGATACATGATACTTGAAGGCCTGCCAATATGCTGTTCTTCACATTCCCTTTGTGATGTTCTCTAATACATATCTACTGAATTTTGTTTATATCCCATGTTTCTCCTAGAAATAGACCTAAGGTAGCTTACAGTAGAATTTTTTAAAGTACAGCGGTGCCTCGCTTAATGGGCGCTCCGTTTAGCGATGAAACTGCATAGCGACAAACTTTTTGTGATCACAATGAATTTTGTTTATATCCCATGTTTCTCCTGGAAATAGACCTAAGACAGCTTACAGTAGAATTTTTTAAAGTATAATAAAAAAACTATAAGAATTTTTTAAAGTACAGCGGTGCCTCGCTTAATGGGCGCTCCGTTTAGCGATGAAACTGCATAGCGACAAACTTTTTGTGATCACAAAAGCGATCGCATTGCAATGTTTCCTATGCGTTTTTTTCGTTTTGCGATGATCGGTTCCCTGTCTCGCTTACCGATCATCGCAAAGCGATGATTTTTTTTAACAGCTGATCGGCGGTTCCAAAATGGCCACTGGGTTAAAAAAAAGGGCGCCCGCTGTGTTTTTGCACCAATTTCTCGCTTTAGAGGCAGCGAAAATGGCCACCGTATGGAGGATCTTCGCTTTAAGGTGAGTTTTTTGCCCATAGGAACGCATTAAACAGGTTTTAATGTGTTTCTATGGGCTTTTTAAAATCGCATAGCGACAAAATCGCTTAGCAGCTATTTTTGCTGCATGGATTAACATCGCTATGCGAGGCACCACTGTATAATAAAAAAACTATATTTTTTTTAAATTATGTAAGAAAGTAGGGCTGTCCTTCTATAGCACACTGCAAATCTAATATATGTTTAATTTGCATTTTCACTGGCCCTAGTGTCTCCCATCACATCCTGCTTTGTGTAGGAACAATTCCCATGGCGCTGTGGCTTGACAGTGTTCATTCTATCATGAAGGCCTGTGTATGGGAGATTCTTGGGATATAAGAATGCAACATCTCCTACCAGGTCTTACAGTGTCATAACAGAAATCAATACATGAATAATATTTAACCACCTCTTCTACTTTAAATATATGTACTCTCCCATTTTTAGATCTATCACTTTAGACTTGTTGCCTATAAACAAAAGGACAGTTTAAGGTCATAAATAAATTTAAGTAATCAGAGCCTGATATTTTTGAGTTTGCCTTACATTTTGATGCTTAAGCTCCACATAACATTTCATTTTTATGAGCTTGACAAAGTGCTGTGCAATATTGTGAGTTATAGATCATTCACCACACACTACAATTGTGCGCACCTAGGTAGTTTATACACTCCTGCTCAGAGAGCAGCCCCATCCTTTAATGATGAGAGAGAAAAACATTGTGTGACTAGAGAAAACTGTCAGTTTCTGTGTCAGATAGAAATAATTGAAAATTGCTGATAGAGGATCTTTATGGATCTACTGTCAGCAATGAGTATTACATTTTCCACCAGCTAACATATAAACAGGGCTTGGCTCTATAAACAACCTAGGTTTACTTCCAAAGCCTTTATAAGTCTGAATGCAGAACTGCAATCTGTGGTATTAAACTGTTTACTCAGTTTTATCATAACAGAGGTTTGCTGTTACTTCCATTTAAAAACTCATCCCAAAGTAATTCTGAAATTAACATTTAGGTGGAGCTGGGATTGTAACACAAATTTCAGAATTTCAACCAAGTCTTAAATAGTGGCAGTGCTACAGATTACCTTCACTTAGGTGCAATTAAGGAGCAGAAGAGGCAGAGTTAGGTACTGTCCAGTAAGAATTTTTTCTTGAAGGTTGCAACTGTTACATCACAGATTTTGTTTCCCACTAATAAAATGGGAGTACAGCACTACCATCCCTGCTAAAATTTTGTAGGTGTCAAAGCTGAGGGACAGACAAGTACGTGAACTACCTACCTTCTTGAGATCTGGACATGTTGCTTGGCAATGCTTGTTAAAATACACATATTCTTTAGCATTTATTTGCTCTATTTGGTATGACAACCAACTGAAGTCTAGCCTTACAATATACCTTCCAAAGTGAGTACAAAAGACAAGGTAGTTAAAAGAACAAAATATATTTCCTATGATTTTATCTGAGTATTCTTGTGGACGAAGTAGGAATTATAGCAGTCATTAATAACTCTTGGCATGGAATCACATGATCTGTTTTTCCAGATTATTTCATAGGCAAACCGTATGGAGTTTGCAATTGGTGGCATCAGAAACAGATTGTTTGCACTTAAAGCAACATCCTTTATCCCTGAAACATTATTTTATTCCTGGTCTAAAACCAAAAGTTATAAATAAGTGGAGTACAGAAATTTTTATTTGACACAATCCATGGGCTTGTTTTGACAGAATAATATATACTTTATACCATGTATAGTACCTGGACTTCTCTGCTTGCAGATCTGAGCAGTTAGATCTTGAACATACTCTGGGAAACTTTCAAAGCAGTCCCCATAGGATACTACTTTTATGCCATGTAGAAGCATATCTGCCTGAAGTTTGAAAAACTGGTCTTCATTTTCTTTAACTACCAACATGTAATGTTCTAGATCTACTTTGTTTTTGACTGTGTATAGAAAGAGGGCCTGGAATATTTGATCACGCAGAGTCTCTCCACAGCCTAAAAACAGGAAAGATTTTGTCCGGTACAGGTTTTGTAGAGCTTCCTATAACAAATAAGAACAGCAAGTTAATTTATTTTGGTTACAGACATTGTAAAGCAAGCATCGCCCTCCAGATGTTGGACTAAAACAACAGGCACCCCCTGACTAGTAGACATGCTGATTGAAAATATCCAACATCTTCCTGTCGTTACTCTGTAGTGAGTTATGATGCTTCACAATCAGTCAAGTAAGGGTGTTCTCAGACATTTTTAAGATGGTGACTTCTCTGCCTCTGTTACAAGTGATGTACACTGTTTCAACAGCAAGCTTACAAAGTAAATCCCCCTGGCTTAGTTTACATGGGTTTTTCTGAAAACACCATGGATATTTACACACACTGGCCTGATTAAAAGCTTACTATCCCCCTCTTCAGGTTCTGAGGCTCCCTAGGGATACCTTTTGTCCGTGGCAAACCTTGAAAACAGGAAAATCACTCTCACTTGTGTTCCCAATCCAGCAGTGAAACCCCACCAACCCCACCCAAAAGCATCTCAGGGACAAAAGGGATTCCCAGGGAGGCTTTAGAACCTGAAGAAAATTTTAAATAAATTAAAATATCAATTGCTGCATGGTTACATCATCCACTTTGCGTGGTACACATTTACACAAACAGGATTTCAAGCAACATGCAGGGATCACCATGCAAACACTTAACAGACACAAGGAGCAGAAAAATAGCTCCCAACTTTACTTATAGTAAATCCTGATCAGAGAATATGAAATTTCCAAATCAATCACACTGGTCAGAACTGTATCATGCATTATCATGGTACAACCTTTGCTAAATACCCGCCCTTCTGCCAATCATTAAGATTTTAATCATCAACCACACTCAAGCCTTACCAATTTTGCAATACCCAATCCTTGTTTTTTCTACACCATTCTCAACTGCAGTCTACTTCTGATCACAAGGCACACCTACCATCACCTCAGGGTCCTGAGTGACATCTTTATATCCCAAGGGATCCAACACCATTCCACAGGGATCTGTGTACAAACCATGAATGTGAAGAACTCCATATCTGAGGTGTCCCTTTGCCCACTGGAGAACCTGAAGAAAGCCAAACAGTCCATGAATTCTGCCAAATATGATGCAGAAGTCAGGTCAGCTTCCAAAACAACAAGTTGTTTTTTTATTTTGGTGACAGTGCTACCTGTTCCCTCCTTTTCCAGTTATCTAAATGTGAACACCCAAACCCTAGATTATAATGCTTGCCACAAAATATGATTTGCTTTTTGAGTACTTTACATTGCTTAAAGGATACCTGGTCTGCCACATAAATAAAGGGCTGCCTTTTAAAAACAACATTCCACATTAAAGCCTTTCCTTATCAACATCATACAAATTTTGTAGATTCCAAATCTAATGAGAAAAAAAAATCAAAATATTTTATATATCTGTTTCTCTTTGAGTAAAAACATGCCAATCGTCCTACTTTTCCTGGAGAGGAATACCCACAAAAAGGGAACTGCTTTAGAAAGCTAGCAGAATGTTATCCAACCTGCCTTGCTGGCTTAGCCAACTGTTTCAATGTTTTTGAGTATTGCAACAGGTTCTGTCATGTCCTTTTTTTCTCTGTTGGAAAACATGTCAGCTGTCCAAGCCTTCTACTGGTTTAGCTACTGTGATTCAGTGTCAAGGCACAGCAAGCCCTGGTCACATAACTAGCCACTTTGGTGCAACAAGAACATCTGATGGTGCATTTCCAAAACCACAGACAGCTGCTCACTACCGAAAGATCAGTGGAACATACTTGCATCTCATGATTTTGTACACTATTGTACTGCTGCTAGTAAAAGGATTTATCTTAAGAGCCTTGCCAATCCAAAAGGACAAACTTCACTAGCTACTGATAAAATAGTGGTTCTGAAAAGAATTCATATCTGTTCAGTTTACAAAGGCCATAAAAAGCAGCCTGTGCAACGAAAACACAGCAAATCAAACAGCTGTAGCTCGAACACTGAAACACTAAACCAAACAGCATTTTTGTAGTTAGTGTAAGAAACACTTATGTATCTAAGGAATATTTTAAAGATGATGAGATGTACCACCCGCAATCACAAGAATGCAGTATTCAAAACAAAAGAAACATTAGGCACAATGCATTGGGGGCTTCTTTGCAAAGAAACAGATTTTTCCTGCTCTCTCATTCATTTTGTTAAAGTTTGTGCAGAAGGGGAAGGGGAGCTGTGCCCTTCTGGTTCTGTTAAAGGTTTTTCATGTTTTGAGCACAGAGCTCATATGGGCAACTACAAAAGAAGATATAACAGTCTTATCATACCCTGCCTTTATCTTTCAAGTCCAGAGATTCCATAGGCTTATTTTGTTGTTGACCAAAAATTTCAAGTAAGTTGTCGTAGTTAGTAGTCAGCACCATTGTGCCTCTTTCCATGAGCCGGAGGATTGACTGAAGCACAACAGGATTCTGAATGTGTTGCTCCAAGTTATCAAAAATTTCCATTAAACAGTCCTGGAAAAAGTTGGGCTTGGTATCACCTGTGCGCTGGGGAAGGAATTAGAATAACACTGTGGAATCAAGTATTCTGCACACTAGAGTAAAATGATTAATAGCATCAAACCAAACATTAAGGGACATGCATATCCCTTCAGTTAACATGTACACCCCCCTGCTACAAGATTTGCTTAAAGATGCACGGCTTAGCTAACACAAACAAATCTTTGCTTACCGTCCAATGACCAAATCACAAACCAAAGTGAAACAGAAGATAAAGAGATGAGGAAAATCATGTGCTATGACAAAGAGACATTTTTCATCATTTGTGGGAGCACACTTCCTTAGCACATGCTAAACGTAGTTAGTTTGACCCTTGGATACATCAACATGTATAGCAGTCACGACATTACTGCAGGGCTACATGAACTTTGTCCTACTAGTCACCTATTGTAGACTGTCAAGGGTTTGGTTATTTTTTTCTTTTTTCCTCCTATCTACTACCATAAAATGGTTGTGAATCACCCCACCTTCCAAAAAATAGCTTGTGATTTTGGGGTGAGGGAAAAGAATGTGTCAAGGTTGCACATTATAGAAGTCTTCATCAAATGTCTTTGTAGGAATAGTAAATTGTAGTTGCCTGACAGAAAAGTAGTGGCTAATTGGCAATGCTACATGCCTGCCACTAAAACACGGTGGAGAGGAGGAATGACAGGAGGATGCCATACTACATATACCTAAGATGACAGAACAATCTTTGAACTCTAAACCACTTCAAAGATTTCTCTGCCTACCTCTGGCAACTGGCAAGGCTCTCCCAAAGCGTCCCTGCAAATGATCGTGACAAATTAGGGGAGGCTTTTTGCAACAGCCCTGCCCAGGGAATTAAAAAAATGGGGACAGCATCTAGTAGTAGCCATTAGTATCCAATCTGAACCTCAAAACTACCTAGAGACAGTTTTGTGAACCAGAACTCAAACCTCAAACAGTCTCCTCCTACAGCCAAATTGAAATGAAACCCTTGAACACAAAACTAGTAACAAGTTCATTAAACAAGCTCCACAAACTCCAGAAAGTTCTATTAGCAGGGGTAAGGACCTCCTGCCAACAGATAGGAAGACAAAAGGAAACGAGGAAGGAGACAAGATTTTGGACTGACATTTCTCTTGCCTCCTGCATTTACTTCAGCTTCAACTTGGAACGGCTTCTTTCAAAGCCAAAGCCAGGCAGACAAAATGGAAGATCAGTGAAAACTCCAGAGGTTATATTTTAAAGAACACATACAGTGCCACCAATTTTTCAATGAGCAATATCCATTTAGATCCTGAGCAATTCTCAATAGCCAGGATGCCAAGAAGCCAAAGAAAGGCCCAGAAACATATCAGTCTCTATGTCAACTGAACATCTGGATAGCTCAGTGGTTTGGGTCTCTGGCTGCAGAGCCCGAGGCTGGGAGTTAGATTCCCCCAATGGGCCTCTTTGACAGGGGCTGGACTCCATGATCCATAGGGTCTCTTCCAGCTCTCCAGTTCTAAGATTATTATTATTAACTTCTTTTCAGTACAAGTAATAGAGTAAGAATTGCCTTGTTGGTACAATCAAAGCATCTCAAGCATCTTTTAGTTAAAAAAACATCTTTTAGTTTAAAAAGTATAGGCTAGTGCCACTGAAAGCTAGCAAGAATAGTGCAGTTTGAGAGCCCTTCTGTTTCATCTCCAGTATGTGATATTCTAAAAGGGACGTGGTGGCACTGTGGGCTAAACCGCAGAAGCCTGTGCTGCAGGGTCAGAAGACCAAGCAGTCGTAAGATCGAATCCACGCGATGGAGTGAGCGCCCGTCGCTTGTCCCAGCTCCCGCCAACCTAGCAGTTCGAAAGCATACAAATGCAAGTAGATAAATAGGGACCACCTCGGTGGGAAGGTAACAGCGTTCCGTGTCTAAGTCGCACTGGCCATGTGACCACGGAAGATTGTCTTCGGACAAAACGCTGGCTCTATGGCTTGGAAACGGGGATGAGCACCGCCCCCTAGAGTCGAACACGACGACAAAAATTGTCAAGGGGAACCTTTACCTTTACCTTTTTATGTGATATTCTGGGATATACTGTCATTCAACATGAAGGTTTCAGCCTCTAATCTTTAAAAACCATTTAAGAAAATGTGATGGTTATTATTGCCATGCTTCTAGGGGTCCATATGGATAGCTGGACTTAATTTGATAAATATCAAGCATACTCTAAACCCTGTATGCTCCCCCCTCCCCACCCTTAGACTAAGCCCTTCCAGATATTTTAGGATTTATTCATATGGAAGTTATTTGTGCCTTTGAATATCCAAGGGTACATCTCTATATATATTTTATGGGGGAAGCAAGTTTGACTAAACTTAATTCTGAACATGTGTCCTTCAGATCTAACTAAAAATCATCATTTTATGTTTGAATTCTACGATACCATTTGAGACAGAAAAACCAGAAACACATACAAGAGTAAAATGCAAGCAGTTCCCAGCTTATCCTATTCTGCCCTTTGGTGACAGCTTCATTCAGCCAAAAGAGAATTCGCTGAGGCCTCTCTTGGCCAAATTAGCATCTATAGTAGCCAGGATCTGAGGGGCTGCTTGCTGGCAGCTGTACATGGCTTGCTGGGATTTCACCTAGCTATAGGAAGTCATAGAGAAGACAGCCAGGAATCAAGAAAACATGCAACAATTCCCATTTTTGGCTACAAAGGAAATGAAAGCTCAGCTATAAACATGACAGCAATACATCTCTAGGATTGCAGTAAACAAATCTTCATCTCCAAGTCCTGGATAGCTTTGGGATACCATCGTGCCAATACTTCCTACACATTCTTTAAACCAGGCCCATAAGGAACAGTAATTACCCAAAGCAGGAATGTAGACTCACAGCACGCTGACACTAAGTAAATATGCAAGAACTTCCCACAGGAATCTTAAGTATAAAAGTTCAACTATATGATCTCCAACAGAGAAAGAAGAATGTTAAAAATCTGTGTAAGGCAACAAGATGCTTACCGGTGACATCTTTCGGATCAAGTCATGTGCAACTACCAGTAAATCTCGGTCTTTGGCCACTTTTTTCTGGAATTCAGCCACATCCCCTGGGTGCAGCACTTCCAACTGGTCAGCTGCTTCAAGGACTGCTTCAATACAGCTCCGCCAAGAACACAAGGCTGGAATTCCTGGTGCTACGGCTGCACTCACTCCTGTTCCAATTACTAGCAAGAGTTCCCGGGGATGCCTCCGTATAAGGCTTTTTAAGAATTTCCTAGCCAGTAGAAGTCAAACAAATTCTGTTTTGGTCATAATAAGCAAAGCTATAGTCATTTATTTAATGGGTCTTAGTAAAATAATAAGATTTAGATCAACTGAAGCCCCGTCCCCAGAGAAACATGAAGCTTATGAAAAATAAAGACTAGTTAGTCTTATAGGTGCTACCTGACTATTTCTGAGTTTCTTCTATTACAAAACAGACTAAAATGGATACCTGCTAAATTAGCTTTTCCAATAAGTTAATAGAAAGGCTTTGAAAACAAGAAACTTTCAATGAACACTGGAAATGATCTCAGTTGAAACGGACTAAATGAATAGTATAGAAAAGTGCTTGCAAAGAAGCACATTGCTGGACAAAATAGTACAGTGGTGCCCCGCATAGCGACGATAATCCGTGTGGAAAAAATCGTCGCTATCCGGACGTCGCTATGCAAGACTAAAAACCCCACAGGAACGCATTAAAGCACATTTAGTGCGTTCCTATGGGGGAAAAACTCGCCGCTATGCAGAAATCCTCCATATGGCCGCCATTTTTGCCGCCCGGTATGCGACGGAAACCGCGCGAAAATGCTGCGGGCGGCCATTTTTTTCCGGTGGCCATTTTGGAATCACCGATCAGCTGTTTTTAAAACATTGCAATGTGAAGATCGGTAAGCAAAACGCTTACCGATCATCGCAATGCGATTTTTGGCCACTGAGAACGTTGCAATGCGATCGCTTTTGCGATCACAAAAAACGCATCACTATGTGGATTCGTCGTTAAACGGGGCGCTCGCTATGCGGGACACCACTATATTCTATTCAGTTTTGGCTGGAGCCACCCTTTCAGTTCTACTCCTGACTGCAAAAACAAAATGCCATGGCAGCACTAAAGGGCCCTAGTGTAAAAGTGTCCACTGTTCCACAGCCTAACAAATCAGTACCACATGACAGGTTGAGATAAAAGATAAGTGAAGAATATATGATATCTTGGTAGCTCCTCTAAAGAAGTGCATAAGAAAACTATAATAACAGCAAAAGAGGTATTAGTAGAGTGACCCACCTTGCCATTTGTAAACTTATTCCTAAGGAATGTTCATTTTTTTATGCCAAGCAAACCGCTACATAATGGGCCTTGACATCTATAAAATGGCAACAAGAGTGATCCACACAGAATTGTTGTGAAGACATAAATGACAGACAGTTTGTACATTAAAAATGGCATGTAAAATCATTGCGAATAATATCAAAATGCTATGGAGTCTGATATGATTATTTTCACCTTGATTTTTGTTCATTTCGATTTGACGCCCTTTCTGCTGGATCCATTGTCTCCCAGTCCTATGAAATTATAATGCAATAATTCCAGAAATTATAATTAGAGCTCCCATACTAATCAATCACATAATCAATATTAAAAATTGAGGATAAATATTTCAGTTGTTCCCGCTTATGCAAACTTTGAATGCCAAGCAAACCTCTGGCGGTTCACAGCTATCTCTAAGCAGGCCCAGCTTAAACCAGTGAAGGGAGCCCTTGGAATCTACAGTAGTAGCCCTTACTACTACTGTAGCAAAAACAGCTTTAAAAGACAAAATGGGGTAATTCCCATGCAACTTATTCTGATCCCACAGCAGAAGCTACCAATACAGAGCGTGTTGCATTTTATGTAATGCAAAACCTCTCTTATTTCATTTTCTTTATTTAGCTTTTTTGGTTTTTTGCTTGGTTTTACTGGAGAAGCACTAGAGATGGGAAAAGGTAACTTCTTCTCTCTCTGGGAGCATGCCACACATCTTAAGATTCTTCCAGACAGCAGACTCTTAATGTTAACACTCAGAAAGCATTCTGTACCTGTTCTGCCTTCCTATCCACTAACACATTTTCTGCAGTTGAAAAAAGGTGGAAGATGTGGAAAAAAACAATGGAGGTGAAAGATGGCATCATGCGAGATTCCCCTAAAATGTTCATAAATTTGACAGGAGATGGCATGATGAAAGTGTATCTGGAAGATGTGTTGCTTACTGTTGGGAAAACCTATTTTTGTTTTCCTGTAAGGGGGAAGCAAAATACTCAGCTCCTTAGAGCAACATAATACTTAATACAGTGGTGCCTCGCAAGACGAATGCCTCGCGGGATGAAAAAAAGCAAGACGATTGGTTTTTTGATCGCTATGGTGTCTTGCAAGACAGCTGCTGAAAGACGAATGCCTCGCAGGACGAAAAAACGCAAGACAAATGGTTTTTTGATCGCTATGGTGTCTCGCAAGACGGCTGCTTCTATGGCCGTGCTTCGCAAGACGGGTTCCCCTCCCTTCCAAGACCGATGCTTCGCAAGATGAAAAAATTCATTTGTCTTTCGAGGTCCTATGGCCGTGCTTCGCAAGACGGGTTTTTCCCCCCTTCCAAGACCAATGCTTCGCAAGACGGAAAAAATTAATTAGTCTTTCGAGGTCCCCATGGGAATGCACTGCAATGCATTCCTATGGGGAGCGGGAATGCACTGCAATGCATTCCTATGGGATGCCGCTTTCGCAAGATGATTTTTTCGCAAGACAGCGCTACTCGCAGAATGAATTACATTTGTCTTGCGAGGCACCACTGTATGTTTGGGATGGAGAGAAGGGAGAAATGTCTCTGAGTGCTGGGGAAATACTACAATACTTTGAACATTATTACCCTTACATGTTGTTCTTATTTTACTGACTTCTATTACTGTTATATGAAAACATCACTTTATACTGTGGTCTTCTGAATTAAAAGAATTCTTCAAATCCTAGTTGCAGAATGACAGCTCGAAGCTTAATTCTGTGTTCTTGTAAATGCATGTATTGTTTAGTTTATTGATGCTGTAAAAACAAAAAATGTTCTTTGGCCTTTCCACAAAAACATAGAGAAAATATATACTTGTTTTGTTGATATCTTAAGTTTATGGATATGCAAACCTAACTGATGAATGAAACTAACAAATGACAATTAATCATTTAAAATTTCATTAATTTCCACATTTTGGTACTTGGGCATTTTTACCCTGTCAGTTTGGCTCCTAACAGCAGATGTGTGTCCAACTGAAGAGAAATGCAACAGCAGTCATGCAGCGTGACACTGCATGGAGGGGAAGCACAGGGTTCCTGATATAAAAAGGAAAAACAAATCACACTGACCATCATTTTATATATGAATGGGATCAACACATAAAAACGTATACAAACCTGACTACTACTGGCACATTCAGTTTTGTCCGGAAAAGGTCCAATTGCTGATTCCTATGGAAGACTGAGACGGAAAGAGATAACACATCAGTTTCTGAACTTGTTTTTAACGAAAAGAGCAAAAAAATTAAATAAAAGTAATGAAAGCACAGCAACCTACAATCTGCACTAGAAATTCAAAATGTTAATTGTTTTGACTATAATTTCAGCATATCCACTAGCTGTGTTACCTCAGGGTTTTTATGAACTGTACATCAAAAATAAATTAAAATTTAAAAAAAAGCAGGTTTTTATGAACTGTACATCAAAAATAAACAAATTAAAATTTTAAAAAACCAACGTTTTCCAGATAGGGTGTAGTCAGGATTGAGGGCTGCTTAATTCTACCATTGTGCAGTGAGGCATCCCTCCGGCCTGGGCCATAGTAAATTAGCAAGGAAAGTCAGCCAAGATTATTCCGATTCTTTATTAAATATCTCAGCATCTACTGAAGACAACAATATTTTAAAAAATCCCATTCAGGCTTTTTAGAGCTGGCTGAGTAACTCAGTTATTTTGGTATCTGGCTGCAGAGTTAAAGACTGAGAGTTCAATTCTTGATAGGGGTGTGCCATGTGATTTTTTTAAAAAAATCCAAATCGCAGGATTCTACATGAATTTCCTAGGCAGAATTCTGAGAGTTCCAACCCACAGAAACACCAGACACCTTCATCTGAATGAGTTGGACAAGGCTGAGACCTCCTTCAAAGCCATGGTCTAAGCCTTCATTTTCTGCTGCTACACTTCCTGGGAAGAAGCTGCCCCAATGCTTCTTGGGGACGGCGATTCTTTGGAAGATGCCATGTACAGAGCCTAAAGAGCAATGAGACTCTTAGATTTGGAGTCCAAAAATGTGATAGCACACTCCTAATTCCCCATGATGCCTCTTGGGAAACGTCCCAGCCTGTGTAGCTGTAGCCAGTTCCAGGATGCCCCCCTATAAAAATGGAAAGGCAAACCATGTCTGAGTACTGTATACTTAGAAAGCCTTGGAAAAGGTTACCACAAATCAGAACTGACTTGATGACATGCAGTTATTAGATCTTTGCTGTCCTTTACATTTTTAAGGGACTCCTCCGGAAAAGGTGTTTCTTTATGAAATGCACCTGATTGATCCCCAAAGTTCCTGTTTCCTCCCTGTGAGTCAGGAGGCGAGAGGGATATCCCATTCGCTGGAGAGCCATCCCTCCGCCACACCAAAGAGAAGGAAACACGGACACAGCCCACCTCAGCACCCACAAAGACAGAGCAGCGAGGAACAGAAACAGACGGCTTTGGGAAGGAGATGCAAAGCATGACATTAGGAGGGGCTCAGGGAGAAATGGTGGGAAAAGAGAAGAAGAAAGGGTGGAGTTTGAGGCAGCGGAGATAAAAAGGAAGGAAGAGCAGTTACCACCAGGCTGGGAGTGGGTGTGGATGGAGGATCCCTGGACTGGGTCATGGGAGAGACTAAGAGTGCCCACGGAGGGGGCACATTATAGAAGGAGAAGAGAGATCCCACCCAGACCCTCACATTGGGGAGAAGCCGAGGCGAGAGAGTGGAGAAGGAGACTAAGAGAAGAGAAAGAAAGATTAGAATGGAGGATAAACAAGATGAGGAGGAAGTGTTACAGGGAGGACCTTCACATTCCACCCCCTTTCCAGTTGATGGAAGGCTCAAAATGGTAATACCAGTGGCAAACAGTGTAGAAGCTGAGACTTTTTGCAGTAAAATGTCCACCCTGCAAAACATGCCTTATTTTAAAACTCACAATGGGGTGGGAGGGGGGATTTTAGTACCATGGTGTCTTTCATCTCATTTCTAAGGTGGTCAGAAATTTCAACTATTATATGTTTGGATACTACTTGCCTGCCCACCTCCACAAGGGGAGAAGTATTATGGTTAGCAAACTGTTGAGTGGCAAATCTTAGTGGGGAGCAAGATCCAAGGAAGCTGAAGAAGCAAGTGGTGCTGGTGCCGAGGTAGTCTCCCTCTTCCCATCACTTAAAGATATACTGTATGTGTGTCAATATGTGTATGCATATGCATATGTATTTGCATTTTAAAAACTATTGTGCTACCCTGCTTTGCCCCTTCCAAAAGGTAGGGGGCAGCACTATGGCATTTCTCCAACCATCAAACTAGGGGAAATTCTCCCCTGAAATACCCCCCTTTTTTTCCAAATCGTTGTGCAAATAAATAAAATGCATGCCTGGAAGGTAACCAAAATCTTGCACATGTTGAGAACAAAACAAGACAAAAATCATGGTAAAAGGATGTGCAAAATGGCCCCATCGGAAACAAAGATGACATCATTCTTCCTGAAGTGTGAGCATCCAGTCAGGAATGTAAAACAGACTCTAAAAGTAGTAATGATCTTCTTTCCCCTCTGCATCCCACAGTCTCCAGGGTTTTAATTCCTAACACAAACACAGGTTTTCTGAAATCAGCCTGGTTATCAAACCATGTTCCTTTCTGAACTAAGCTAGTGATATTTTCCTACTCTAAATTTAAAAATAATGCCTGCCTTTCAGTCTATATGGATCCCGGGCATGTAATGTATTACTCTTCTGGATGACTATTTTTAACACCCACCCAGAGTAGAAATGGGCCAATTGTTGGGGGAAAGTATACCTCCTTTCTGACAGTACATCCTTCTCAAAACATACATAAAAGGGTTTATGACAATCAGATCGCCAATACCTATAAGGAGAAAGTGAAGATGGACCCATTCTCACTAACTTTTAGTGAAAAGATAGACAGGAAATATAAATTTCAAATATCAAAATAAAGGCCTAATTTCTGTAGAGACATCTATTTAAACACACTAATAGAAGGAGCCAGATCAGCAGTAGAAAGCAAACATTTCAAAATTTGTAAACAGGAGAGAGAAATGGCACTGCTTGAGAACAGAGCATATAATGCTGTGTTTACACAGGACAAAGGTTCTATAATTGTCGCCATCCATAATCCAACATATACCTGACAAAACACCACTTTAGAAGCCCCAGCACTGACATTTCAAAATGTTTCAGCAATTCTGTATTAGATACATTTTCATTAAGCAGTAAGAATATATGGGTCAATGGAAATATAGGGTAAATGAAATAAAATTATACTAGGAACCTGCTTATATTATTAGGAGGATCATAAGGGCAAAGGTCAGTGCACACCAAATTTATGAAGAAGAAAAAAAGAATTAACTAACCATGCCTACATCATTAGATTTGTGCTCTTAAGTTGGAACCAACTTATGGTGACTCTAATAGGGCTTTCAACACAAGAGAAATATTTAAGGAATGAATGTACCAGTTCCATTCCCCCAAGTAAGTTTCCATGGCCAAGTGGGGATTCAAACCCTAGCTTTGAGAATGCTAGTCCGTCACTCTATCCACTGCACTATACCACACCACACACGGTACCCATACCTACATATGGAGAGGTAATATATTCAAATGTAAAAGTGCCTTGCATGGATCTATGTTAGTGTCAAGAAACGGATCTCCCACAGTAAAGAGCAGCCCCATGTAAAATGTGTTTGTCCCCTCTCCATAATACGTAGTTCAATCTACCTTGTAACCAGAGGATGTTGCACTCTTGCCTGGTTGGTTCACAGCATTGGCTCCTCCTGGAAAACAACATAGTGTATGGATGTCAGGACATGAGGCAAGAAGTGCTATGCGTGTTCTAAAGGGGGCACTGCCACTATTTTCAGTGGAAGCCCCACATTTCCTAGAATGTACAGTTCAACCGTAAAAGAGATGAAATAATCCTGATGCAACTTTATAAACTGTTAGAAACAGTGTACTGTAAGAGAAGATAATTTTAGTCATCTTCACAGAAGAAGACAGCACTGAATCTGGGGGGGGGGGACAGAATTCACAACCACCCATTTTCCTTGTAAGTAAAGCAAACATGAGGACAGGAACTGCAGAAAGGAACTTGAGAGCAGGACAGTATTCTGAACAATTCCTTAATTTTCTCAATCTCAAGACTGGCTTGAGACATTTTGTTTGTGCACCCCAAACCAAGAACAAGATTCTGGGGGCCCACACACACATTCCACGCACCAGCAGCTAAACTTTCCTCAGCATTGAAAACAGAACAACAACTTTCTACTGCAGTGGTTACCAACTGTGAACTGGTCACATCTCTTAACCTGCAGACAGACTCAATCAATCACAATTGCCTTTATGCATTCTTAGGCTCTAATCCTAAACACAAGTGCTTTTAAAAGAAATTGAAAGTATAGGACATGATTTTCTGAAATTACTAAACCTTAATGAAAGCTGAAACCTAAACGTATTTATGTGATCCCTAAGTAACACAGAAATTGGGAATTATTAATGAGTCAACAGTCTTAAAATACGTGAAAATGTGCATTGCTGCAATGCAATTTGTAACTGTTCTGTTGCTGCATTCTTTTGTATGTGTCCCCTGCCTCTGACAAAAGTGTTTCATAAATTGCTAATGTAATCTTTAAATTAGAACTTAGTTTCAACCACAGGAAAAGAAAACTGCAAATATTCCTTCAGACTATTACCTATCTCTTAAGAAAGAGCATGACCCAGGAACTACTATTTAACTTCACAGCTAAAAATAGATGACACTGTGGTGCTATTTTGACCAGTGATGATAGCATGCTATTTGACCTCAGGCTGCGCTCTTTGCTATTTGAATGCCAAGTCATAATATCACACCTACTAGAGCTAAGATGTCAGAAATAGGGGGCTAGAATGTGCATCTTTTATAATAACAAACAAATAAGCAGCAGCACACAAATACCACCACTTTAAAGCCCAGCGGAGTGCAGGAATTTAAGTTATCCATGGCTTTTGAGATCAAGACAAAAATGACAAGAATACATGGAAAAAGGGGCCTAGCTGATCATCTTTTGAAATCAAGAACTGATAAATTGTACTAATGCTGATACCAGCATGCCAGGCATGAAAAATACCCAAACTAATTAAGCCTGCAACCTACTTTAGTCTCCAGATGAAATCTTTCTAACACAGGGTGAGCAGGGGTGGGGTAGACAGGTACACTGTTGACAACACCAAGCATTACAAATTCAAGGCAGGGAGCATACAGGGACAACGAGGCAAAATAATAGGGTGGGATACAGAGGAAAAGCCCTAGCTGCCCCACATTTCAAATAAACAACTTGGAAACTATTCTTTTGTCAGATCTTCTTTTACACTGCTAGCCCCTGTCCTCTTACTTTTATCTTGCTCACCAGAATGTGGAATTCTTCCATTTTTATATGACTGAGCTGTCACTGAAGGGCAAGGGCAAGCAGCAACCCAACTTTGCCTTATAACTCTTTTAAAAACCAGAGGTGCTGACCTTTTTTTTAAAAAGGACATAAAATTTGTCCACCATCCTCCAGAACTGAGGGGCATGTGGTGGGGATGCCGTTTATTTTTTATGAACATTATCCCAACGACACAAAGTTGAAGGATGTCACTACTGCCTCCCGGCGTGATGGGACCCTCCCTCCCTGCCCCCCCACTCCGTCTCTTCCACTTAGGGACCAGCCTTTCCTGTTGCTTTGCTGCGAGGGGCAGGGAATGACTCCAATGGAGGGGCAGTCGTCAAATACCTTTTCTAAGTCCAAACTATCCTCTTCACAAATGTGGGGGGGGCGGCCTTTAGGAGCGAAGGGGAAAAAAAGAGGTTTCCCGATAGATATCCTCTATGTAGGTTATAGGTATCGATGGGGATCTTATCACACTTCTCCTTTCCATGTTATTTCTATTAGCCTATTAGGGAATTTGAAGAGGCCAAGGACCGAAGCATAACGCAAGGCGCCCACAAACCAGGGACCCCCTATGGCCCCCCACCGTCACTCCGCCTCCCTCCTCGCCAGCAGCGGCTCTTTGCCTCGCCAGGACAAGGAGAGCCTTGTTGTAGCAGTCCGTCTGGAGAGCACCACCGGCTTCGTCCTTTCTGCGTAGGCGGAACTGCCCCCACCCGCCCCTCTTTAGGGCCCCAAAGCCGGGCCGGCTCTCTTCTCCTCCCCACCACCACCGCCGCCGCCACCCGATTACCTCGGCCTAGCTGCGCCGCCCGCTCCGACGCGGCCCCGTTGCCGGCTCCGGTTCCCAAGAAAGGAGCGTAAAGGAGGAGCGAAGCACGGGTTCCAGCAACTCCGCCTCCGTCTGCTTCCTCCCCCACCTCCGCCTCGCCTCATCCTGGGCTGACTAGCACCCACGGAGGCGGAGAGAGCTTGCTTTGCTGCGAGAAGCCCGTATAACACCGTTTGGTCGCTTTACACGGGTGGGGGTGGGGGGAGTTTCTATCAGGAGCGGAAGGAGAAGAAACGTGGGAACGCGAATAAATGGCCATATACGGTCAGGTTTGATGCCTAGACCTATAAGGGGATAAATAATACTGCATCTCAGAAGCTTTTTTTTTCAACATATAATGCAAAATCGGGTTGTTGATCCTGAGTAGGATAGACCCACTGGCATGAATCTAATGAGGCTCAATTAAAATAGGCCCAAGGATCAATGTGATCTACTTGAGTAACTAAACTGAGGTTTAGTATTTATTAGACCGCAAAAAACAAAAATCACAAACGTAAGCCAGCTTTCAACCCAATACAAGTCTTCAACAGGTTGGGTGCCACAGAGCTGGGGGTGGTGTAGAAGGAAGAAAGTTACCTTCCAAAACCCATGGCCAAATGTGGGGTTCCAAAAGGGAGGCCGCAGAATCAACTCAGAGATGGAAGCTTTCAGATTTCATCTCAGGTGGTGTAGATTAGAATACAAATTTGTTAGACAAAGGGTTGTCAGTCACACAGAACCATTCCCCCAGACTCTGTATAGAAACCTTTTGGGTTGGAAATAGAGGAACACAAAAATGTGGCAAACCCCCTACCAGAAAAGTTGGGATAACGTTTAGTCTAGACAATAGATAAACCAACTGAAGCCCAAGTGAAAGTGTTACCTAGTAATATTACCATTAGGTATTGCCACTTCACGGATTGCTGCCTTGTTGTGGCGAAGGGGATTGAGTAATTCAGAGAAGCTATGGGCTATGCCGTGCAGGGACACCCAAGACAGACAGGTAATAGTGGAGAGTTCTGACTGAACACGATCCAGCTGGAGTAGGAACTGGCAAGCCACTCCAGTATCTTTGCCAAGAAAACTCCATGGACAGAAACAAAAGGCTGAAAGATATTACGCTGGAAGATGAGCCCCTCAGGTTGGAAGGTGTCCAACATGCTACTAAGGAAGAATGGAGGACAAGTACAAGTAGCTCCAGAGATAATGAAGTGGGTGGGCCAAAGCCCAAAGGACGCTCAGATGCGGACGTGCCGGGAAGTGAAAGGAAAGTCCGATGCTGCAAAGAAAAATACTCATGGGAATCTGGAATCTATGAACCTTGATAAGCTTGATGTGGTCAAAAAGGAGATGGCAAGAATAAACATTGACATCCTGGGGGGTCAGTGAACTAAAATGGACGGGAATGGGCGAATTCAATTTGGACTATTATCACATCTGCTACTATGGGCAAAGGAGTAGCCCTCATAGTCAACAAAAGAGTGGGAAAAGCTGTACTGGGATACCATCTCAAAAATGACAGAATGATTTCAATACAAATCTAAGGCAGACCTTTCAACATCACAGTAATCCAGGTTTATGCACCAACCACCAATGCTGAAGAGGCTGAAATTGTCTTTTGATTTTATGATTTTATGAAGACTTACAACACCTTCTAGAACTGACACCAGAGAAAGATGTTCTTCTCATTCTAGGGGATTGGAATGCTAAAGTAGGGAGTCAAGAGATAAAACGAACAACAGGGAAGTTTGGCCTTGGAGTTCAAAACGAAGCAGGGCAAAGGCTAATAGAGTTTTGTCAAGAGAACAAGCTGGTCATCACAAGCCCTCTTTTCCAACACCACAAGAGGCGACTCTACACATAGACATCACCAGATGGGCAATACTGAAATCAGACTGATTATGTTCTCCACAGCCAAAGATGTAGAAGCTCTATACAGTCAGCAAAAACAAGACCTGGAGCTCATTGTGGCTCTGATGATCAGCTTCTTATAGCAAAACTCAATCTTAAACTGAAGAAAGTATGAAAAACCACTAGGCTAGTCAGGGATAATCTAAACCCAATCCCTTATGCATACATAGTGGAAGTGAAGAACAGATTTAAGGAACTAGATGTGGTGGACAGAGTAGAACTATGGCTGGAGGCTCATAACATTGTACAGGAGGCAGCAACAAAAAACATCCCAAATAAAAGGAAATGCAAGAAAGCAAAGTGGCTGTCCAACGAGGCCTTACAAATAGCAGAGAGGAGAAGGGAAGCAAAATGCAAGGGAGATAGGGAAAGTTACAGAAAATTGAATGCTGACTTCCAAAGAATAGCAAGGAGAGACAAGAGGGCCTTCTTAAACGAACAGTGCAAAGATAAAGAGGAAAATAATAGGGAGGGAAAAACCAGAGATCTGTTCAAGAAAATTGGAGTTATTAAAGGAACATTTTGTGCAAAGATGGACATGATAAAGGACAAAAGTTGTAGGAACCTAGCAGAAGCAGAAGACATCAAGAAGAGGTGGCAAGATTACATAGAGGAATTATACCAGAAAGATCTGGATGTCCCAGTCAACCCAGATAGTGTGGTTGCTGACCTTGAGCCAGACATCCTGAAGAGTGAAGTCAAGTGGGCTATCAACAAGGCCAGTGGAGGTGATGGCATTCCAGTTGAACTATTTAAAATCTTAAAAGATGACACTGTTAAGGTGCTACACTAAATGTGCCAGCAAGTTTGGAAAACTCAGCAGTGGCCAGAGGATTGGAAAAGATGAATCTACATCTCAATCCCAAAGAAGGGCAATGCCAAAGAATACTCCAACTACCCTACAATTGCACTCATTTCACACGCTAGCAAGGTTATGCTCAAAATTCTCCAAGGTAGGCTTCAGCAGTATGTGGACCAAGAACTCCCAGAAGTACAAGCTGGATTTCGAAGAATCAGAGGAACTAGAGACCAAATTGCTAACTTGTGCTGGATTATGTAGAAAGCCAGAGAGTTCCAGAAAAACATCTACTTCTGCTTCATTGACTATGCAAAAGCCTTTGACTGTTTATCAGTTAAAATATAATCCTTGGTGTTGCAGATTACTTCTGGAGGAGTTAATCCTAATAGGTTCTGCATCAAATTATGTCTTTTCCCAGGGGGTTCCAGGTGTATATAGCTGCTGTGCTTCCATTTTATTAGTATTTGCATGGCAGGTAACTCAGCAAGTGAATCTCAAGTCTTCATGCTTTGTCAGTCTTTGCCTATTTAATTTGCTTTCCAACTAGTTGGAACTCTCAGATTTTATTGCCAATTCAGAATAGAACTAGTTATGTACTCAGCAATCAAAGCTAAGAATAAACTGATTATTCATTTATTGGAATAGATTGATTATAATAAACTAATCAGTTAATTATTTTTAACTAGCTAAGCTCATCTAGTGCTGTAATTTTTTACTTAACTGGTAAACAACTTGATTTAATTAATGAGTTTAATATTTACCCAGTACTTTGATAGCTTTAATAAGTTTAGTAGATCTGTTGTGCTAAGGCTATAACAAGCAGTCAAGACATAGAGAGAATCTGAGCCATGGCCAGGTGAAAGAGTAGGGAAGCTGATCTGAGCAGAAACATTTGGGTAGGAGTTCTTTTGTTTAAATGTGTTGGCTACACTACAGTATGAAGCAGATTATTGAGAGCAATGAGGAATGAATTTAGTACAAGGTATATGTGTGTGTGAATGAGAGAGAAGGCACTGGAATAATCTTTATAAAAGTGATAAGGATGGGAGAAAGAGGAATCAGAAGAGCCAAGAATCTGAGTCACTGAAACGAGACTAGTGATTTGAAGAATTTACCACTTCTTTTTGCAACAAGAGCTATACTAATGCTAGAGATGGAACAGTATTTCTCATGACAACATACAGTGTGTGGGGAGGCAGAGGATGCAGAAAAATGCTTTGCATATGCTTTGCAAATGTTCATCTCTGCTGCTTTTCTGAACCATGGCAAGTATGAATTTGGTACGTACATTCCCTGGTAGAAGCACTGGCAACTGATGCTGTTTCCCCGGCGGAGTTGTGGGCTGGTGGCATTTATTGCTCTGCCTTCATGGATTCAGCTTCCATCCTATGGCCTGCAGTGCTTACAATGAAGCGACAACAAAAACACACTTTGCTGCTGTTGCTTCTCATTTCCTTTCCTTGTGGCAGTCGTGACTGCCCTGACTATGGAACAATGGTGATGCATAATGATTTCATGATGCGCTCAAATTAGTCTTCAAGTTTTTTGAGCCAAGAAGTTTTTTCCCCTAAAATGATTCGCTGTAACAATCTCTACTACTCATTAAAAAGACCAAGGTGCTCCTTTTCTGCATTTATGTGTTTTATAATTTCTTGATTTTTATGTATTTTCCTTAGTACTTCTTCACAGATCAACTTTTTGATCCGAGGAATTATCAGAATCCTCTGATGATCACATTTATCAATGCTTTGGTTTTTTTAAATCTATCATTTCACTTTTATTTCAGGTTTAACTATAAATTTACTCTAGGTGGTGCTATCTGGCACTTTCTCCTTCTCTTGTAGCTTAAATAATAATAAGAATGAACAGAGGGCCCTAAAGAGGAAAAAAGAGCTAAACTTAACCAAATAAAATATCTGTTTTTATCATTGCTGTGCTTATATTGCCCATCTTCCAAATACTAGAGATGTCACATCTCCTGCTGAATACAGTAACAGTAATAGCTGCCACGATGTTTGCAAGGAAAGAGAATGACAGCAGAAATCAGATTTCAACTGGGATGCTAGGAGAAAGAAGATTAAATCATGCTCTAGTGCCATTCCAGACTGAAATCTTACACACGGGGTGGGGGGGGAGGAATAGTATTGTCCCCATGGGATATTAATTGAGACAGCCAAAGGGGGAAGAAGGATAAAAATCCACCTCTACAGCTTGAGCTAACCCTCTCCCACCCCCAGCGGCAGGTTCTACTTTTTAAAAAAATAATAAGTGCCATAGTGTCTGGGAGGCAGTGCTAACATCACATCTAGTTTGGCCATAAACAACTGAAATCAAAATTCTCTGCATGCCTCTACAGTCATGTTTCCCAGCAGCTGAAATCATATTACACAGCTCTGCCTAGTCAATCGAAATGATGTGCTCCTGACTAAAGGCTTCCTTTTGTGTTTTGCACACAGTTTATACACCATACAACAAAGTTGCATGCACCTTGAACTCATGAAAGCCTTTAATTGCCTAATATTGCCCTTGATCAGCAGTTGCCTGTTGCTGTCGATGAAAGGCAGAGCTGCACAAGATTTTGGATTTGTTGAGTCATTATTAATCTAACTCTTTAATCCAGCTGTAGTGAGCTCTTTTAGGACATGACACAGTATGAAGCGGGGAGTGAGGAACCTGTGGACATTACTGGATGTCAGCTTCCAGCAGGGCTATTCATCATAGTCTGTTGGGTGTTATGATTCAACAACATCTGGAGGTTTAATCTTCTTCATTCTAAAGTCAAGAGGAACACCGTCTGGGGACATGTCTTGCTGGAGCTGCTTGTTGCCCTCCTGATCCCCCACCCACACATGGGCAGCTGCCCATTGAGCAGAGACCCATATTTATGTTTCTTTAGGAGAAGGGGATGACAGAGGACAAGATGGCTGGACACTGTCACTGAAGCTACCAACATGAATTTGACCCAACTCCGGGAGGCAGTGGAAGACCGGAGGGCATGGCGTGCTCTGTTCCATGAGGTCACAAAGAATTGGACACAACTAAATGACTAAACAACAACAACAACAACAACTCATATCAGAGCATTGCATAATTCAGAATCATGGACACACACTAAGTACAGGCAAAATAAAAAAATTAAAATGTCAAGACAATTAGACTCTTTTTGACCAGAAGCAGTCAGAACTTGAGATGTGTGCAGAAACTTTTCCTCAGCTTCCGTTGTCTTCAAGGGAATTGGCATCCATGAAGTGAGTGGGTCTGGTACTGTTCCAGTGCAACACTTCTAGAAGTGAAGCATTTGCTGACTGCCTGCCAGGGGATGCCCAAGTGCACTTAGAATGCTTTCCCACTTTTTGGGGAAAGCTTCTTCTACTGTATGTGCCCCAAGTTTATGTTAAAATGGTAAGAAAATGTTTGAGAGGTACTTGTGCACCCAGGAGTAGTTCAAAAGAAGCTGGAACCAGCTGTTGGATCTTAAACTTATTCAGAAGGTTGACTAAATCCTGATATTTTCTTGTCTTGAGGCTATTGGGATTAAGTTTAAAATACCATAAATGCCTAACCGAACAATTTACTAGAATTTTTTTAAAAATTCAAAATATGCCTGCAGGACAAGATGAAAACAAACCGGACAATGAACATGTGAATGATCAACATTTCAATTATTTAACTGTGACATTATGATGGCATCATTAATTTTTGGTGTTATGTGTCTTCTGAACATTTAGCACTTTACATAATGGCATCCAGGAACTTCTGCTTAATATAATAGTCCATGCTAATGGCAGATTTTCCTAGACAGTGAGAAAGAACAGCATCTAGAGACAAACTCAAATTCACAAGAACTAAACTTTGCAACTTCTTATTGCACCAGCAACCAAGACCTCTGAACTGCCAAAAGATCCCTGGAAATCTGCATGCTTTTTGCATCAGAATTTGGAACAAGGTGTCATTTCAAAGTATTCTTCTACTCTTAGTTCTCTAGAATGTCTACTGCCCCCATAAATAACATTTCAAAGTGTTGTTGTGGGTTTTTCGGGCTCTTTGGCTGTGTTCTGAAGGTTGTTCTTCCTAACGTTTCACCAGTCTCTGTGGCCGGCATCTTCAGAGGACAGTACTCTGAGTGCTGTCCTCTGAAGATGCCGGCCACAGAGACTGGCGAAACGTTAGGAAGAACAACCTTCAGAACATGGCCAAAGAGCCCGAAAAACCCACAACAACCATTAGATCCCAGCCATGAAATCATTTGCGAATACATTTCAAAGTGTGTTGTCATAATATGTCTACTATTATTTTCATACATTACATGGAAGCAAACCTAGGTTTCTCAAGAAAGCACACTTCACACAAGAGCAACTGACAATCCTAACATGTTTGCTGCTATCATACATTACTTCAGACAGACATTTCTAAAATACAATGTGTGCAGAAGCCTTCCATTTAACATAACACCAAACTATATGTAGAGACATTATGGGATCAATTATAAACATACAATTTTATTCAATGCTGTTTCTCATCCTTCCACATGTCTATTCTTTGATGAAATGCTTGTTACTGAAATACATTCTCTGATTCTCTGGATTTTGCTGTTCAATCATCTCTGTAATCACTCCCAGTCCACAAGAGAAGTGATACTGACTTGCCCAGATTATTATTTCTTGTTTGAGAGAGCCACTGCTACAATTAAGGCAATCGCTAGGACAGCCCCACCAACAGAGACCAGAATGGTGATGACTATCATTCCTCCAGCTCGTCCTCCAAACATCACATCAGCTGATTCATGATTTGTCACTGGAAATGCAAAGGAAAATGGATTGAAGAAAGAAATCAATAAATGGCAGATTTGCACATGGGCAAAACCCACATGAGCCTTTCAAATTCACAGATGTCATTTCATTTAGTGGATGTAAAGGTTCAACTAATTAAGACACCTGAAGACAGCATCCACGTGACCATACATGCACATGACATTTTGTCCGTGCACTGGTTAGAAGTGAAGGATGTGCATTAACTTCAGTAAATGGACATCAATGTGAATAGGGACAGATCCAACTCTATATGCTTTCGTCATAAATGCAAAGAATTTGTACATTTTCTGTTCATGGGGTTTGGAAGTAACAGAGGTCATCTCAAGGAAAGGCTGGGAAAGAGTCTTGTTCCAAACCTTGGAGAGCCTCTGCCAGTCAGTGTAGACAGTCTTAAGATAGATGAATAAACTTTCTGACTAGGCATACAGGGCAGCTTCCTATGTCACTGTCTACAAGCATGACTTAGTTTGCACTAAGGAGTGGCTATCTATGAGTATGTGGTGATGGAAGTATAAATGAGAGGAATAAATCAGTAGTAATAGGAGGAATAAATATTTTACTTATTTATTTATTTATTAAATTTATACCCCGCCCCTCTAGACCATGTCTATAGCAGGCAGACATCCAGAAATGTGTATGTGTACACATATATACACTTATGTATGTGTGTATTAAAAAGGTATGTATGCGAAGAATAGTATATTCAACTTCAGAAGTGTTGTTCTCTGTTAATGGTACCATTTATAGCACTCTATTGTGACAGTGCATTTAATTCTAGATTTATCTCAGCCAACCCATGCCTAATTTTGTTTGATGTTCTCTGTGCCCATTTGAAATTCTGATGGCTAAAACCAAGTTGGGAAATTCCTGTATTAAGACCAACCAAAATACTACAAAAATATATGAGTTTTTTTTTATTTCTGTAGAACTACATGAAAACATATCCACTTCAGTGGTGTTTTGGATGGTGCCAATAAAAGTATTGCCCACATGGGGATTTTGTCAACTGTCAGAATTGTGCCTCTACCTAAATTACAAGATAATCCCATTGTTCAAGGACCAGGATGAGCTTCATCCCTCATTCCATTGGGAGGGGGGAGTGACCCCTACCCCAGTCACATGCTGTCTGTGAATCAACATCTTTCTCTTTTTAAGTTCTGTGTAAAACACTTATTTTTAGATGCTTCATAAATAATTGTTATGTCCCATCATATCAGAACTGACTTATAGTGACCCTAATAGGTTTTTCAAGATAAGTCAGGTCTTTAAGGAGTGGGTTTACCTGTTCCAACCTCCACTCACCCTCCACCATTAGTTTCTGTGGCAGAACCGTGGAGTCAAACCCAGGTCTCCGGATCCTAGTCTGTTACTCTATCCACTATAACTATACCACACAGGTTGATACACCAGCTGTGATCCTATCTGGACGCAACAGATCTTTTGCAAGTTCCCCATCAGATTATTTCTGGCATGATTGTTTGCCTTCTTCCAGATCAAAGCACACAAGCAAAAGTGAAGGAGGAGACTCCTGTTACAAACTTTGGCAGTGACACCACTGCACTGAACCTGTATAAACCAATGGCTAATTAAGATACTGTATGTTGCTTTGGAAACAGATGGAAGATCTTTTAAAAACAAACTAGAAGAATCTTTCCTTTGCTTAACTGAACCCTCCTTACCTTCCACCTGATTATGTTTTGCATTTTAGGATTAATCTATTTGTGGTTGAAACTTACCGTTTCTAGTCTGTATTGCGGTCGACCAATCTGTATGAGCTCTTATTGCAGACTTGTCATCCAAAAAGAAGAAATTCACTCTTGATTTTAGGATAGAAATTTGAGAGAAAATTAGGCACGCTTTATATCAAGTATCCAATTACAAACATGTGTTCTACACTTTCTCTTGGAACTACTCTATAACATGCTGGACTGTAAAGGTCACTCCTCCATCTAGAAAAATATGACTTATTGTCCTTCTCTAAAGAGTACTGAAATCTAAAACTTTTGGCACAAGAGCTCCAACAAAAGTCTAGTGTTCCTTTGGAGGGAGAGCCGCCTTTTTAATTCTACACAAAACTTCCAGAGGTTTTCCCTAACCTTGCAATATCATTTGTCTAACTATGGTTGCCTCTCTGTCTACACAGCCATACTCCGCTCCTTCAAACATTGCCTCAAAATGCACTATTTCAGCAATGCTTTTCCTGAAAGACTGAACCCAAACCCAATCTTCTGCCAGTGTCATTCTTGCCCCTAAAGCATGAATTGCATGATGTGTTCCAGTGCCCCCCCCATTTTGATCTTATTATATTTCTATTATATTCATATCTCTTGATTCCTTCAGTGGCATGCTAGAAGTCAGCAACAAGCCTACACACCTCATTTCTTCCAAAACAGCGCTACCGAATTCCACTGTTCTAGATGCAAAACATGGAATTATTAGGGGCTGGGAAACCTTGGAAGCATATCAAAATTTGTTTTACCAGCCTGCCAAAACTGAACTAGTAAAGCTCACTGTTGGCTAGAGCTATATTTCCAGCAGAGCTGGGAAAAGGTACCTTTTTTTAACTAGAGCTGCCAGAATTTCCTAACCATCTACCTTGACTGTGGGGTACTTGGAATTGTGGCCCAAAACACCACTTTTCCAAACTATTATTTCCAGTTTCCAGAGGCTGTCACATTTGTCTTTTGCTAGTCAATGGAGGGCTAAACAAGGTAGTGACAGCTAGCATTCCTTGGAATTCTGCTTTGATGGCAAAAGTAGAAAGGAGAGTCTTAAAGTTTCAGCCAAAGAATGGGGGGGGGGGAGCAATTGCTGAAAGAGGGCTGTTTTGACTAGGAAAATTGTGAAGGGTTAAACACTTCTTTATTCATTGACTGCACTGTTATTTGTTAATTCCCTCCCCTCTTGCAAAAACAGAACAAAATAAAACTGAAAGCTTCATACACAATTTTGTGTATGTGCATTCTGTGTCATCAACTTGGAACTGATGTATAGTGACCCTAATAGGATTTTCAAGGTAAGTGAGATTTTTAAGGAGAGGTTTTACCAGTTCTGCTCCCCCAGTGAGTTTCCATGGCCAAGTGGGGATTCGATCCCTGTTCTCCAGAGTCCTAGTCTCGCACTCTGTCCACTACACCACACTGGGAATCCATACACAGTTTTAGTGACATGTAATTGAATTTTAAATGAAAGTTTAACACAAGTAGCCTGAATTCTACTAGACTGTGACCAATGGCTTCAGGACATCTCTTTAGGTATCAGTCACAGCATAACATGATGAAACAAGAACATGTTAGCATTCCTATAATAATACTAGCTAAAGAACTGTCAGAATAGTGGCTGAAGGAAGGATAAAGAAGCCGAGTCCTTTCACCTATGGTACTCCTACAGCCACACTGTTGAAAAAGTACGTTTCCACATATTTTGTGGAAAATCTGATTGAAGAAAGGTTTTCGTTTCACTGAGATGGTAAGCCTATGTTGGGTTGAACCATTCCAGGTTCAAGTTAAGAACTCAGATGATTGATTTTATTTCTCTACATTTAAAAAATCCTTCCATGGTAAAAAATATTTGTTCGAGAACCAGGCCTAGCCTTCTCCCTGGTAACTGCCTGTGGGCATAGAATTATTTTTCTACGGATGGACATTCAGATTTCCTAGAGAACTCACATCTTCAGTGTCCTGGACCCCAGAAACACAGACTTTACATATTGAAAAGTAGGTCAAAGTGTACAAAGTATTCACTGACATAACCAACCAGGGCGGGTGGGTGTCATGTGGTTCCTAGTACAATCTGACCATCATTCTTCACATTAGCTATAAGTGATATTCCAGCCTATTTTAAATACTGCATTTCTTTTTTTAAAGTGCAAATCTCTTTATGTTCCACCATACAAATATAGTACAATGTCAATCTTTCATTCTTACATTGGATAGCATACACTGATCTGTTTAGGCTTTTTAAAATTAGTATTGAATTACTGGTAAGATTAAAGATGCCATAACCTTAAGAGATTAGAAGATCTGTTGGTGGCAGGATCTTTCAAAGTTCACTAAGGCCTATGGTCACCATTAAGTCAGAAGCAACTTGATAGCATATAAACACACACACACACACAATTTCCTTGCTACATTAAAAAATAAAAGACAGGTATAACAGTATAAAATCACCATGTGATAAAGTTAATTTTTATATTAGGATGTTCTACTGCTGTCATGTTATCACATTATAATAATTGTATTTTACGTTTATTTTTAAAATCATTTCTATTTAGCAACATGGTCAGTGATGGTGACTGGAATGGTTTCCTCTTAACCATTTAAAAGGATAATATTGAAACATTCTGGAGTTAGCACTATATACATTTTTCATATAAACACACACACACACACACACTTCTTAACATATCTGTATACATATCTATCTCTCTATGAGCGTTTTAACCATTATTAAAAACCAATTTAAGACAAACAGGGTCATAAAATGTCACCACTGTCCATGTCAGAATCTTGTCCTTCCATAAAAAGACAGAAAAGAAATGCTAAGAAGCTACACAGATTGCTTAGATTCTCTATTCTTCTAAAAGGGAGTGGACTTTCTATACTCCATGAGTGTGTATGTGAAAAAATAGGAAAAGCAAAGAGAAAATACGAATAATAGTGACTGAATACGAGTCACAAACAGATACCCTATAAAAAGTAAGTGGATAGAGTATCCTCATGACTAGGGGTATAAATGTAAATTCTATCCTAATTCTGATGTGCCCTCTCTTGTTGTAGGTGCAACTAGAGCTTAGTGTAGGCTCAGTGTTGTTTTCATATAAGAACTGCTCTACTCATAAGAGGATGCAGCTGGAGCCCCTTAAATTTGTAAAGCATGCAAATCAAACACATCTCTCTTTAAAAGAAAAACCGAAAGCACATATGTATATGCCAATCAATGGCAACAGTTACCTATAAAATGTAGATGGCTTGAGGGCTTGATTGCAGAAGGGGCCTTTGGTCTGACGGCAAAATTCTGCTCCCACCTGGTAGCCTATAACTGTGATCAGCTCATATTGGCTGTCATCCATGTCCATTACCAGCAGGTCCCTGGCTACTCTACATGAGACGCTCTTGAATTCACCAGCAAAGTAAAGATTGGCCTCTGGTGTTTTGCGTAGATTTAAAATTTCATCAGTATCTGTCACACCTTCAAAAAGATAAAAAGCAGCGTATAAAATATGATAACTATTACTCTGTTTCTTCTATTCAGCAAAAAGCATGAGGCATTTCAAACATATAAAACAGGAAATACAGCTTTTGTTGGACAGTACTTTTAAAAAACAGTTAAAAACTTGGCTATTTAAGCAGGCCTTCCCTCCAGTCAGCTAAGTCTTTTATTTTTTCTTTCTCTCTTCTTATTCCAATTGTATTAATATATTAATTGTATTTTATGATTATTTATATTTTATATTGTCCTATTTTATGTTGTAAGCTAAATAAATAAATAAAATAAGTACTGGTTGAGACAACAAGTGAGGGGGCGGGATTTTTAAAATGTTCTATCAAGAATGTAAGCGAAAGTGACAGGAAAACAGCGATATATCACTTATGATTTTTTTTTTAATGACAGGCAGCCGGGACCCAGGAATGGGTCAGAAAATGAATAGATTTATCTGAGAAAGCATGTGTAACCTACAGAATCTGTAAAAATAGCAATAAATGTACTGATTGAACTGACAGCCATGTAAAAGGGCCTCATCAGTTTATATACCACATGACTACGCATACAAATATATTGATATTAAAAGAGGAGGGAAAAGAAATTATTCAGATGATCCATGTGATTAGGCCTTGTATTTCCCCATATGCACATGAACCTCACTAAATAGAACAATGTGGTAGGGAAATTCAGGGATTTAGAACAGGAGTTCTATTTAGGTTCTATATCCACTACAAGCTTGTATACTACTTTTACTGGCATGCCTTCTTCCAAAGATGGTGGATTTGGCAAGGTGCAGAAAATTATTATAGAGAGTTCTAGCACCCACTCCCTAGAAAATTAATATGGTCTCTGAGTTGCAGATTTGGATCCAGAATTTGTGTACATAAGCAGGCAGGTAAAGACCTTTTTTAAGTCATCGTCTAAGGCAGCATAATCAGCACAATTGAACAGGAATGACTAGCCCTCCAATCCTCATTGTCGCTTTGCTGACACACACAGCAATTTGAAGAGGATATATTCCTATCAGGTTTAGATGTGAGCATGATCCCTGAAAAATCTGATATCACGCTGACATGCAGACCCTACAAGCAAACAGGAACCAGTCTTCTTCGGACTGTGCCATATTGGCAGGCGCAAAGAGATCAGGGAGGGTGTGGTATTTGCCACTCCTCTCGAACTCTCTTGACATTCCTGGATCAGAGAAGGACTGAACAGGGCTGTGATCTGATTCTGTTCTTCATGGAGGAAAAGCACCCCTCAAAAATTGGCCAAGTGTTACCACTGGGTTGGCCATTTCAAAGCAAAAGGAAACAGCATTGACTGTCAGGAAGGCCTATGAGATGTGTCCAGTTGATGAAGGAATGGGGTGTGCAGAAACGCTATGCAGGAATGTTGTCCTGGTTCTTGACCAACCAGTTTTGCTTGCCTGTGTGCTGCCATGAGATTGAGTAAAAAAGATAAGGAAAGAATTTCCAGACGACACCATCCTTCCCCCATGTTTCACATTGGACAATAGTTTCAAAACCAAGTTTGGAGAAAATTGTGCTTGATACTTGGAATATACATTGATATAAATGTTATCATAGATGAACACTGAAATAAATATGATAGTGGATTTATTCTTTGCCACATACAATGAAGAGGCAAAAACTTTCAGGGCCATGTGGGTGTAAATTGGGGTAGAAGGAATAATTTTTAGTAAAATAAAGGTTCTACTTTTTTCAAAACAGGCAATGGGGGATTAAGAGAAACAACAACCACAGGATATTTCTCAGAAAATCTGGTAAATTAATAATGTTTATGTAAAAAACTGCTGTTTTTGAAATATTTTTGCTTGAATAGTAAGCCGAAAGTAGCAGAGTGACATTATTTTTCCTTAACTGTATTAACTGTATTATTTTAAAGTGAAGAGGATAATAGGTAATTGAAGGACAAGGCAAACATACAGTATTCTTGTCAGGACAGCCACTGATTCATGCCTCAAAAAGGGGTGTCAGTGAGTTCCATCCTCATTTTGCTTGCTGCCGAATAAATTGTCCATAGCAGAACTAGGAAGCAATTTTGGAAGTTTCTGCAATGGAGAATCATTGACCAGAATCCAATTTATTATCTCTATCAGATTAGACCCATTGAATCAATAGAATTTTCTCAGAAAGCATTAGGTGTTATTCACCATCCAGCAATTAATTCAATGGGTCCACTTTAGTTGCAACTACTAATCAGATTCAGAATGAAGAAAAATAGATTTTGGTCATTACTGATCATGCTATTAATGATATGCGTTAATCCCCACTCTTGATTTACTCGTAAAAATGTAGAATCTCTAATTTTCTGTAAGTTGCTCGTTCTTCTGCAGTTTGCATCCATGTGGCATGATATGGTAAATCTTGGTAACCAAACTTTTTTTACAGGATTCCACACATCTTTACTGGCTACGCATTGTTGTCTCAAAAATTACACACAAACATACCCATCCCGTACCTGGCAAAGTAGATGCATCAGGAAGTTTGGCTACTGCTATTCTTACTTTGGATGGAGAAAACTTAGAGGAAGAAACACACTTTGGAACATTTACGATAAAGCTGGTGCTCAGGTACGTTGTCAAAAGCATGCTGCTGTTAGGAAAGAAATCCTGTGCTGAAAAGTGACATAAAGAGAAACATCAGGTCAGGGCATATACTTGCTAGTTGGGCAGTCTCAGGATGGCTCATGTTTATCAGAAAACCTGGCAAATAAACAAGGCTTATTTAACAAAGTGTTGTTTTTGAAGTGCAGTCACTTGAATAACAAACCCAAAGTAGCAGATGGACATTATTCAGGATTGTGCCCAATGTAGCAAGCAGCAAGCTGGGCTACACAGAGAGCTTGGGAAAGTTACTTTTTTTGGATTGCAATTCCCAAAATCTCTCAGCCAGCACAGGTACTGGAGTGGAGTATGATGGGATCTGTATTTCTAACAAGGGACTTGTCAAAGCTCTGGGAACTGAACAATACAGATGCATATGTGTGAAGAAGCAACTTTAAAAGCCAGGGAAGCCCCATGCCTTCTGTTGAGCTGCTTCACAACAGCGTCTTCCTACAATCTTTTCCTCAATGCCTTGTCAATTCAATTCGGTAACCTTTATTGGCATAGGAAACTTAAAAAACATACACTTGGGAAATCAATAGTAAATAGAGATAGACATAATAGTAGTTACACGGCTAAAAAATACAACAAGCAACACAATAGGGGATAATTTGGGGTAGTCTAGTTAATTTTTAGAGACCTGGGAGGAGAGAACCTTTGCAAGAAACTCGGTTACTAAGGCAGTTATTTTTTGTGAATAGTCATAAAGGAGGAAACCTGTGAGAAACTGAGGCGGGCCAGAAAAATTTGAAATTATTGAACTTAATAGACAAGCACGCATATCTTTAAACTCAGGGCAGTAACAGAGGATGTGTGTGACTGAGTCTGGTTCTAAACCACAGAAATTGCAGATTTCCCAGGCAAATAGGCAAATTATTTCCATTGCCATTACTCAAGGCTGTGAGAACTATCAAAGCATATTCTTCTAATCATGACAAAATATCTTTTCATTCCTACCTGCAGATAAATTTTGTGGACTTATTTTAATGATCTCTATTTTCCTTCCTTCCTTCCTTCCTTCCTTCCTTCCTTCCTTCCTTCCTTCCTATATTTTAGTCTGCCTTTCTCTTTAAAAAGGACCCAAGGCAGCTTACATCATTAAAATACAATATTTGAAAGCTAAATGCAGTACATATACAAATATTTTTAAAGAATCGAGCAAATGTCACACTAAAAATGGTGAACAAAATCAACACCAAAAACAGATTCAAAGCAACAAGGCACAAACACTCCATAAAAAAACCCTTAGCCAAACACTAAGGGAAACCTGTGTGAAAAGAAAGGATTTCATCTGTTTGCAGAAAGACATTTATTGCAGTGGGTGCGTATTCTAAAGTGTCAATCAGATCATGTAAGATACTGTATGTGGAGGGCCTCCTCACAGACTTCATAAACTGAGGGTCAAACCAGACATCATAGAGCTGTTGGGTGTGTTCTTCATGCTCTTCCCTGTTTACTTCCAAAATATGGAATGGAGGTTTGTTTTAATCCCAACAGAATGTTTTAGCTGAGGCATTTTTTTCCTCCCATCTCAGCTCTAATACTGGAACTGAGCCTTGTTAGGGAGAAAAATGCTTGAAGCAAAAGATGGTGGGAGATACAGCAGGGACAGAGAAAGGTTCAGTTGCCCTCACACACATGCTCACTGTGCAGTGTAGTGGGGGAAATTCATCATTGCAGGTGACTGGGAGTTGTATTCCAAAGCTTTTGATCATCTGCCCTGGACTCACAAAAGACCCTGGCTCATCATCATTAACTACTTCCACTTTCCCAGACAATCCAAGTCTGTGGGCTGATGATGATGATGATGATGATGATGATGATGATGATGATGATGATGATGATGATGTGATTGATGATGGGATAAAGGAAGCCATGCCCTTTGCAGTTGCTGAGCAGGGCTGTTAATGGCAGGACCATTTGGAGATCAATAATTCAGAGCTTCCCATTACACTTGGAATGAACTTGGTGGCATATTCCAACAACATCTAGGCCAATCAGGTACAGCCTAAGAGGCATTCCAACCCACCTGTCCCATTATGTTCAAGACAGAGTGAAACCGATGTGCCAGGCAACGTGTGTGCTCCAAATTATCATACATTAATAATAACAATTGTGTGCCATCAAGTCAATTCTAACTTATGTCGACTCTTTTCAGGGTTTTGACTCTTTTCAGGGTTTTCCAGGCTGAGAATATTTAGAAGTAGTTTAGCAATCCCTTCTTCTGGGGGGCATCTTGGGACTGTACAACTTGCCCACAGCCACACAGGCTGGCTCTTCCAGGAACATGAAGTACTAATGTCTGGCTCCACAGCCAGATACCTAATTCACTGAGCTATCCACCCAGGATTAATTCATGTGTATTAGTCAGGTGTTTTTGAACTGCAACTCCCAGAAACCCCAGCCAGCACAGCTGGTGGTGAAGGCTTCTGGGAGTTGCAGTCCAAAAACACCTGAGTAACCCAAGGTTAAGAACCACTGTATTATATCATCAAACCCTCAAACACACTTGAATGTTTTGAAAGAAACAAAATCTGCCTTCAGGAAAAGGCTTCAAGAGGAGGTATATAGACTGGAGAAACATGAACTAGATTCTGTGAGAACACCACTTAAGGGATAATTAAATTAAAGTTTTTATATACTATTTTGAATCTCCAGGGTGGACTTGATTCGAAACCAAATGTTTCTGATCATTTACATTTTAAAAATCATTTTTAAATTTAAATTGTGATTTAAATCAATTTGATTTTATTAAATCATTGATTTTTTTATCTACCCTACTGTTAACACACAATTAATGGCAACCCAAACACATAAAATATTTTTAAAAACAGAAGCAATCATATTCAATCATCTGTTTTGCCACCTGTAATTAAACAAAAGAGATTATGCTTTTTCGAGAGTTTTGTTTATCTTGTCTTATTCTCTGTATTCAAGTCTTACTGTTTTAGTTGCTTTGAAACTTTGCTATAATTATTCCAATAAAGCAAGTACTTTATTCCTGTCTATTCCTATCTCCCCCGTCCCCCATCTCCCGGAGAATCGCTCCAGCCTTGTCACCAAAAGTAGAAGCCCCACGGCTGGATGAAAAAGGTTTGGCATGGATTGGGGTCAGGCTAGCGCACACATTTCCCTGTGTGTCGTGTGGTCATCGGGAAACAAATCACACCAGATCACTCCACAAACGGTCCAAATTGCAATCTAGTTCCCCATCTGACCACAACCTTAGCCTATTTCTTCTTGAACAATTTTGATTGAGATATATTGACACCAGCTTATTTCTTTGAATATTTATTACATCTATGTTTACATCTCCTATAACTTGATACTTTATAGCTCTGAATATATATATTACAAATCAAAGGATTTCTCCATCATTACTTTAACACATAGATGTGCTTTCTAGCCTTTTATACCTGCCATGAAACTTGCTGGTCATTTGTCATTGCTCAGTCCTTATTGCTTTGTGAGTTCCAGTCATTTCTCAGAGTTAGGCAGTACATCTTCACTGAATTAATAGCCATAACTCTAATTTTTCTATAGTGTCACTCAGAACTGTATAGTTTCCTCTATGTTTGCAAACATTTTTAAGGTAAGGCTCCTGCCCTTCTCACATTGCATAGCTAGTACAAGCATCCTTCCTCTTCTGAGACAGCAAGGCGAAGGAATCTGTAGCTCTCGAAATGTTGCTGGACTGAATATCCATCAGCCACTAACCAGTTGGTTGGTGGGGGATGATAGGAGCAGTGCTTCACCACATCTATAAGGTCACAGATTCCTAACCTTAAGATATAGTAGTGGGGAGAGCTTCAACAGCTTGTCACACAACTGAGGAAAACCAGAGTTGCCCTCCCAAGAAAAATAACAACTTTACTGAGATAATCAGCCCAATTCAAAACAGATGAGAAAGGACTGTGGGTTTCACAAGCAGTCAGCTACACAGATCTGCCTCCCAGTCTTGTAACCTCTGGGTGTGTTAGATTACAACTCCCATCCACTTCATTCAGCATGAGCAATAGTTAATGATTAAGCAATAGTTAATGATTATGGGAGTTGCGGTCCATAATATTCAGAGGGCATCACCAGATTGGGGAAGACTTGTACTCACAGTTAAATTTCTATCATATACAAATAGTTTTAGAAAAGGTAGCCATGTTGGTCTGTGCTTAGCATATCAGGCAAAAATGAAGTAAAAATAAAAAGGAGACAAAAATGTTATGGCACCTTAAAGACTAACCGCTATATTTTAATGTGAGCTTTGGTGGACAAGTTCACTTCCTCAGACCAGTGAAAGTGGACTTGTCCACGAAAGTTCAGATTAAAATATAGCAGTTAGTCTTTAAGGGGCAACAACGTTTTCATCTTTGTTTTTATTTTTTCTTCTGTTTTTGCCTGATATCATATAGCAAGAACATGCATTTGCTCATAAAATTCCCTCCACATGTACAGAACTGCATAAAGAATAATCACATCATCCGAAATAAAACTGGGCATATTACTTTCTGCTCTGGTTCCTCTACACCAAACCCCTGCCCAATTGAGTGAAGTTGCCACTGCCAACTCATCTTTACTCAAGCAAGGAAGTAATACTTACTGATTTTTTCAAGGTTTTCCAGTGGAATTGTCCATCCTGATTCAAAACCACCAATCAAACACAAGAGCAAAGTAAGCTTCATGGCATAAATGTGCATAGCTCAGATGATAGTCCACCTTCTGTATATGCAACCAAGCCTAGAAAACAGGGCAACTAAAAGGACAGTTAGGTGGATGGCAAGTTTTCTGCTTCAGAAAAAAAAGGGGGAGGTCCCTCACACTTGCAAGCATAAAACGGGCCTTGGAAACAAGGAAAACAAGATAATCAGGTGTGTGACACAGGGCTACAAGGTGTGTTGGACTGTAAGACAACAAAACAGGCCCTGGGGTATTAGGAACTTTACACTAAAGTACAAAAAGTCTTACTGGAATGTAAATAAAATGTTTTATAGGATTTGGACTAAAACAAGATCAAGTTTTCCATGTTCAATGTATTCGCGAAGGCTTTCACGGCCGAGATCTAATGATTGTTGTGGGTTTTTCTGGCTCTTTGGCCATGTTCTGAAGGTTGTTCTTCCTAACTTTTCGCCAGTGTCTGCGGCCGGCATCTTCAGAGGACAGCAACCTGTGCTCTGGTGTAGTTGGCTTGGGAGTGGATTATTTATGGCTGTGAGATAGGCTTTTGTCTTTTTCTGTAGATGGGTGATTAGTGTGTCTTGTTGCGGGTGTATTGTTGTGATAAGGAGGAGAGATTATCTGTCATTGTGGTTGATGGGTGTCATTAGCTGGTCTTTTCTGT